AATGGGCACCGTCTCCTTCAGATCCCTACTCACAGCCCCTTGCTCCACGGGGCTGGCTCCTGCTAGCATCTGGGCATTGCTAGTACCGTCTCCTCCTGCTCTTCCCTCAGCCGACAGGAAGTTGCACGATTCTGCCATGGCTCATTTCTGGATTGTTCTTTCATTTTGCCCTCTGGCTTACAGGTACAACCACTTTTCTATATGTAATTCCCTGTTTGGAAGACCTGGATAGATTTCTGCTCTCTTCAGTGAATCCTGATTGACAAAGAAATCATGAAATGTCATCCCTTTGGGCCACAGTGATCTGACTCTCTGGACACAGGAGGCACTTTCCAGTTATTATAATTGATGTGACCTAGAAAAACGTCATGATGGGGAAGCGCGCTTCTAGTTACCACCTTGATAGCATTCTCCCCCCCCCACCTTCTCCACTTTTCTTGTCTCCCTGTGGAAAACTTGGTCCCTGCTCACCCTCCATCCAAGATCAGCAAGCAGCGTGCCCACGAGTTTGAGAGCCCATCTGGACTTTCACCATCAGAGATGCCCATAAAGGTGTCAACATCAAAAGCTGCCATGTCTTGGTATTCTCATCCAGCATATGCAAGACACTGGCAACGTTATCATCAGGCAGTGGCTTGGATGAGAAGCCACCAGATCGCCTACAGGAAGGCTGTGGCAGCGTACTGCAGTTTCCTGCGGTGCTTCCCAAATGCAGTTGCACCGCTAAGCTCTTACAATAATAATGCTGGATATCCTTGGTCCTCCTATGACCATCCCACGGCCTAGCAGGACTCTCACTACAGCTGTTCCCATGACGGAAAGTCAGGATACCCTCTATGTGAAAGAAGTAGGACCTGGCCCCCCACAGGAGAAGACGAAGCTGTGTTGGAAGAGGAGGAAGTCAAGACAGAGTCAGACGACGAGATAGAATATGATCTGAGCAGTATGGAAATCACCCACGAGCTCCGCCAGTACTTTGCAGAAATGGAGAGGCACAGAGAAGAGCAACGGCAGCAGCAACAGCTGGACGCAGAGCGCCTGGATGGGGACGTGAAGGCCGACCATGGCCTGTACTGCAACAAGCGCCGCACCATAGAGCCCCCAAGCGAGAGGCCAGGGCAGCGGCGCCAGGCTGAGATGAAGCGCTTGTATGGGGACAGTGCTGCCAGGTTTCTGGCCATGGAGACTGCAGTGCAGCTGAGCTTTGACAAGCACTGTGACAGAAAGCAGCCCAAGTACTGGCCTGTCATTCCCCTGAAGTTCTGAGTCTTGGGACAGGGCTCCCAGGAGAATGTTTCCTGAACAGTCCTCAGCCTCACCCCTTTCACTTTTGAAATAAACTCTTTTCATGTCTCCTGTGAATTTCTCAGAGAAAGAGACTTTTCTACTGATATCTAAGCATGTTCACCAAGGGCCCAGTGGGCTTCTTGGGAGCTGTGTACTCTGTTAGCTCTCCTGTCACTGGAATAAAATACCTGACACCTGCAAAAACAAAAAAAGAAGAAAAAAAAAGAAAAATGTCATGATGTCCTCAGTCTTGCAGCCTATTAGCGGTACATCCAGAGTGTGAGCCCAGAGTTCCTGAACACAAGGCACCACCAAGGCAATACGTTTGTGTCCCTAAATCTTGAAGTCTAGTTCTCTGGTTTATCAATTACCTAGTGTATAATTTTCTTATCCACTACATTATCCTTCCCAAAATGAAAAGATTTCTTGGCCTTTATCTTCAGGTACATTTTAAACTCAATTTGATGCTTTGTTTTTAGAACTACTGAGACTTTTTCACTATCGTTGAAAAGATTCAGTAAAGTTTTTGTTATTCTGGGAAGATTGAAACAACAGATTTCTACCTTGAGCTACCATATTTTATGTGAAATCTTAAAATGGTAAAGCAATTGGATATTGCAAATCATAATACCATGGTAGCACTGCTTGAACTTGGAGAGTCCCTTCCTGTTCCAAAATCTTTGGAGTTTTTCCTTTTTGATTCCAGGTTCAGTAGAAATAAAACAGCTAGCAGGGCTACCATGTGAGTTCTGGGTGGCAGCTACCCAGTGTCTACATCAGCAACCCCGATCCTTTAGCTGTAATGATGATTGCTGAGCGTTTACTGAGACCTGTTAGTGAGCTAGATGTAGGGCAAGGTGGAATGAGGCATTTACCTAATGAGATGGAATTTGGAGCACCTCAGCTTAGTTCACTGTGATCAGCTTTCGGAGAAAATGGAACAGAAATCTCCTGCTAGCCTGGCTGTCTTCCTGCTTCCTGGTATTTCCTGCTAGCCTGGCTATTTTTAAGCATCACAAGAAAAGTAAGAAAGTGCTCACTTGCCTTCTTTGAGAGAGAGCTTCCCTATCCATGGTTTTCTAGCCTATCTGAATAACCATGTACTCTTCTGGTTGTGTAGATTGGCTTTATGCCTCCATCCCCCTGTCTCAAATCACTGTGAATTTTTGTCTCTTCAAGACAAAAGTCAGAACCCCAAACTGGGCAGATGAAGCACTCATGGCATGGTCTAGCCTTGCCTCCCCTCGGCTCATGCACCTGTCACCTCAGCTCTCAGTTCCCTGAAAATCTGCTACCAGTTCATGCCACCACACCATGACATCTTTGTTTTTTGGTTTCTGTCTGCTGTCTTGGTGACAGATTCCTACAATCTTCAAGAGCCGGCTCAAAACTCTTTTTCTACATGACAGATGATCTAATCCCTAGAGGAGATATGGTTTTTTCCTTACTGTTCCCCAAAAAAACTAGTCCTACCTTTTTGAGCATATTCCTTTCAACTACAGTATCTAGAGTGTTTAGTTCCCATCTTATAAATAAAGAGACTGAGCCCTTAGCTGTATAAGGTCACAGATCTAGCTGAAGAGTGGCAAAGCAAACATACAAACAAGGTCTATGTGATTCAAGAACATCTTCACCCTGGTGGACCCGCCACTCCCCTGGGATGCTCTACCACACTTTATCACAGCTGTATTGGTCAGTTTTCCTGACACTGAGACACCGTACCTGACACCCACAATTGAAAGGAGGAGATATTTAATTTTGCTCATGGTTTTAGGAGATTCAGTCCATGGTCATCTGGCAAACACTAATGCAGCAGAGAAATGGTGCTAGAGAGAAAGGGGTGGAGGACTAGGTACAGATCCCCAAGTCACAGCTCACATCATGTGACCATGAGCACATTTTAGAAGATCTTCAAACTGCAGGGCCCTGTCTTAAAAGGAAGATGTGCCCTCAGCAGCTGGCCCAGCCCCCGCAATCATAAGCGCTCAATATACATGATTCATAATTAACAGTATCTCAGCTCTTGAGCTTGCAAATTTTGGCTATCCATTAATGTAGAACTAAGGGATGAACTGATCTGAGTTCTAATGTAATTCAATGCAAGGATATTTCATTAGTAGTGCATAGTGAAATCATAGGATTTTTAAAATGAAAGCAATAAAATATGACCTATGTAGAAAAACCAGACGTTTTGTTCCATTCCCACCAAATGACGCTGATTAGGTGGCTATTCCTGTACACCCTACCAGTAGGGTCACCTAAGAAGATGGAAGCCAGATCTTGGCTGATGCTTTTGCTGCCTTGTGCTCAGGGCTGCTTTCCGCAAAGCTCTAAGGCCACTGCTTCAGGTTATGAGTGGTGGGGTCAGGTGTCTCCTTCCTAGACACCAGGGAGAAGATCATGTTTGTTTGTAGTTTTCTTTTGCTCTGTTTGGGTTTGGTTTCGTGTAGGTTTTGCTTGTGTGTGCTCTTTTGTGGGGTTGCTACTGTTTAGTGAGGCCTCCACTTGGCAAACTCAATGTTCTACACTCGATCTTCAATTTAACCTTAAGGACAACTGAAAAAAAGAACGATTTTCACCACTTAACTTAAAAGGAATGGTGATTTAGAGAAGTGATGTCACTTGTCCACAGTCATTTAGGTAGAACATAGGGAAGCAGGGAATTGAATTAACACTGTCTTGAGCCCAGAGCTTGCTCCTATTCATTATGCTTCTTCCTCAACTTTTGAAATACACTAAACTAACTTTCATGTCCTCCTTTCTGTTTTCAGATATCTACAATATCCATTTCTTGTCATTAGTAATGCGTTGGATGTTTAATACTGGCTTCAGGGAGAAAAATCAGTCTTTGCTTATTTCAGTGTATAAATACTTCCATCGTGGCCAAATTCAAGGCATCAGGGTGGGCCAGAGATGTAGTTCAGTAGGAGAGTGCTCCCCTGGCACGGATGAAGCCCTGGGTTTGATCAGGAACCCAGGTACAGGAAAATGTCAAAAAGATGATATGAGCCAGCTCATACAATTCCTGAAAATGTAGCTGTCAGCTCTGCAGAGTAGATTCAACATTCTCACACACAGCTACAACACACAACTGTCTACCACTAAAGTTAGAGAGTAGAGATTTCCCTGGTGGTTCCTTCAGCAGTCTTCTAGTGAGTGATTCACAATCAAGCTGCACGTTTGGGTTACCTGACCGCTCACACGTCACCTGCAGAGATATTCCAATTTAGTTGTGGTGGATCAGGACAGAAATAATTTCATTTAACTATTGAAATTTCACTTCATTTAAATGCAGATCATTCCTGCCCATGAAGACTAAGGACAGTCAGCACTGAGAAGCACAGCTCTAGTAAAAAGATAGTCCTACTCAATAGTCACTCATCAAAGATGGGATAAACTATGCCAAACCTATATTGTTTTTTTTCCCCAACTTTTAAGTCTCATAGAGTGAGTAACCAACTTTTCTCATTTATAAATTTTTATTTAAACTCCTTCATTTAAGAAGTGATTTCTGGTACCCTTTCATTGAAATAGTGAGTAGCATGTAATAAAAATGCAACGAACTATGGCTAGTATTATTTTTGTCATTGTTTGTTTTTATCACCTTGAATTTCGTGTTCTCTGACAACTGTGATGATTCTCTCATCCTTTGAATTTTATAATTTGCTCTTGGCTGAATCTGCAATGATTGATGGAAATATGTTCATCCTCAGGACAAAATCTGCAGCATCTCTCCCCAAACAGACCAAAAATCAGGGATCTTCCTTTCACTCGGAACAACCTCACTCCCCTCCCTGACCAAAAATGTAAGTAGCAAAAATCTCTCCATCTTCCTTTGCAACTAATAATGTACTTAGACACAACTAATAGTCATTTCACTTTATTTCCATTTTTAAAAGAACATCAAATCCAACCCTCTCAGGAAAATGGAGGCCATCTTTAAAGCTCTATGAAATTTAGTAATGCTTTTTCTCTAATTATAGAAAGAGTATTCCGGGAGCCGGGGAGATAGCTTAGTAGAATAAGCACTTTCCTGGCAAGATCAAGGGCCTGAGTTCAATCCCCAGTTCCACAAAAAAGAGAGAGAGAGAGAGAGAGTATTCCATTCACTGAGGAATTTTTGTGTTTAAAGTACAAAAACAGTGACAGAAGTTTTTCTATGTATTATTTGTTGTCTTTACGAAAATGCTTTAAATATTTGCAAGGTTAGTGCTGGGGAGATAGTTCAGTGGTCTAAGCGCTTGCCTGGCAGGTGCAAGGACCCAAGTTCAGTCCCTAGTACTTCATGCTGTGGTGGTCCAGAACCCTGGGCACACCGTGCTGGCCCGGAAACTGGGCATGGTGATACATGCCTGTAACCCTGGTGTTGGGGAGGCTGAGACAGGATGATCACTGTGAGGCCAAGCTACATAGCAAGACCCTGTATCAAATTTTTAAAACTATTCACAAGATTGGCCTCTTGACATTTGGTTCCCCACTGTGTTGGACATACAGAAATGTATAACATCTCTATTGTAGTCTATGTATTTTTAAACAGAAAGGGGATGGTGTTCACCAGGATTATTTGACATGATTGATTTATAACATTTTATACCCAGAAGACCCCAGAACCTCAAGAATATAAAATGTATGCTATTGGACCAGTAATCTTCAGATTTGAATCGCCTAAATATCACCTAGAATGCCTACTACAAAGTAGATTCCAGAGCCCAGCATCTAAAAGAAATTCTGAGCTCATACGTCCTGAATATCCATACTCTGGGACGAGTTTTCTCATTTGGCTCATTGTACAGTTGAGAAACTGACTGCAGAGAGTGTACGTGACTTCCCCAGCATCGTGTAGGTGATAAGTAGCAGAGCCAGCCCCAAAACTACAGGATACGACTCAGCTGTCTTAAGAAACGGCAGCACTCTCCAGATTCTGGTTTCCTTCCTTCTTTCTCTTCCTACTCCACCCTGCTTATCATACACACACATACAT